AAGCTCTCCAGCGTTTTCTTCCGGACTGCCTCACTGGTTTCGACCCTGCCTGCCCCTGACTCGTCCTCATCGTTCCAGCCCCGGTAACCTGAACAGCCTTCTGCCTCTGACACCTCCGCCTGCCTGCCCTTGTCTGTCTCCAGTTTGTTGGGAAAATAAACTGTTGAACTGTTCATCACTGGTCTCAGTCTGTGTTGTACTTGGGTCCAGCTTCACACCCGTTACAGCACTCTAAGACGAGCTTGTGCGTCTTTTAACGCATATTTAGTGTTTCTCTAAGACTTTTTTCAAAACGTGGTCAGCTTAACATAGTTTACTTCTTGTGTGATAAATTGCTAAATTATTAAATAGTTTTCATAGTAGATGCTTGTAATTAATAATTTATTTATTTTTCGCAGATGGCCATCTGTACTACCTAAAGCATAGAGGACAGCCTAATTGTCATAAGGCCAAGGTGCTCCGTGGAAAAGAGGAGGCCAATGTAGTCTTTATAGACTTTCATGCCAGCAGCACTGGTGCACACTGTGGCCAGAAAAAAACAACAGAGGCCATCTCAAAAAGATTTTACTGGCCTGGCATGTCAGACGACATTAAACAGTGGGTCAGTATGAGTGTATGTTATCCTGCCATATCTATCTTTCTAAAAATAAATTATGGGACTCTATGTCACACAGATGTGGAAAATTATCATACTTGTTTTTTTGTTAGGTGAACCAGTGTATTGCATGCCAGGCCAGCAGAGTCGTCATTAAGCAGGAGGTGGAGTACATACCAATAAAAGTTCCCTCGGCCCCATTAGCCGGAATGGCCTTCGCATCTGGATCAGCTTCAGCAGCCGTAGCTGCCTTCCCTGCTGAGAGGTCACCCTTCACCCCCTGGACATCCTGCGGTTCCTCCACCAAAGGTCCCAGGCTTGGGCCCAGACTCTCCCCTGCCACAGCCGCATATGTGCGGCCACTAGAAGGGCAGACCCTAAAAAGGTGGCCTGTTTTCCCACACCCATTGCAGGTTTTTGGTTGACTGCATGAGGCTGCTCCATGTCCCTCCCCTCCACAGTTCCGGCAACGGATCAGTGTGCAGCCAGCCGCCAAATGTCCAAACGAGCGACACTGCCTACAAAAACTCAGTTGACCCGAGTAGAACAAAAAAACCCTTTCCCCTCCAAGTGAAAAATAGGCAGGAGGGTGTCGAAGGCCATCCCCACTCTCAGGATCCTCTCCGAGGAGGACTCGGAACTGTCGCCGACCTGACCAAATACCATAATTGTCCCTCAGGTATTTCACCGGCTTGTCCACCTTCCCATACCTTCCCAGAAAAAAAAAAAAACCACTGCTGCGTCGCTCACATACGGGTTGTACATGTGCACCGTGATGACCCGCACATTCCTCTGTCCCAAAGGCTCCACCTTGAAAAGGGAAAAGGGCACAGACTCTGCCTTGCACGTCATTAGCACACGGTCGTACATAACCTGGCTGTGAAGCGTAACGTCGTAGCCGTTGTCGGCAGGATTCCACCGCAGGCAGAAGACTTGTCCTGGGTCCACCTTGAGCCCGTCGATCAGTACCGTCTTCACAAACCAATCTTGTCCTCCAACAGCCGTCTCCTTCCAAACGAACCTCACACAATTGCGCAGGCCAGCCTCCCTGGCTGCCTTATGGACACCTCCACTGGACATCGCTAAAAAAACAAGAACTGATGTTAGCCAAAAGGCCGAGAAGCGATAACTCTCCAGGGCTTGGCGTTGCCTCTCACTTCCTGATACAATCTGAACTGGTCGCGGTATCCTTTTTAAGGTGGCCACTTCACACCTCCGCCCCTTCCCGCATTAAACACTCTTGAGCAACGACGCACTTTGCGCTCCGACAGGCTGCAGTCGGCGCCCTTGGAGGTACAATTGCGCACTCCAAGCTGCCGCCTCAAGGCAGTCACAAGAGTAGAGTTGAGGGTCTTCCAGGAGAGCCCCTCTCAGCCCAGGTAAGGCCACTTTGACTTTCGACAAACAGGAAAGGCTTTAGCAACGCAAGCAAAGCCAACCAAAAATAACATGCAACTCTTTAGCGTTGCTCTCCACGGAAGTCTTTAGTAAAAGGCGAAAGACTTGTACGTGATGAAAAGAAACCAGAGCCAGTGTGTCTGCCAGTGCGGGAGCGGTCCACCAGGCTAGTTGGCCTAGCAATCTTCCCCATGGTCTGCTTGGCCTGCTAGTCATACCAGCTCTATTGTGTCTCCTTGGCTGGGAACGGTGGGGCGGGGTTTCTCCTCAATGGCTGCTGGTGGACAAAAAAAAGGATTTATAATGTTGCTGTAGTTTCCAAAACATCCCCCCTTGTCAACAGGGAGGCCGACTACTGCTGACAGGGTGGGGATGTGTGGTTTATCTGAGTAGAGAAGGACTGCTTTAGGGAGGAGTGAGCTAGCCCTTTGTCCTCGTGTCCTCAGCCACGCCATGCTGATGGCCTTTCGCGCCATAGCTGACAGAAACTTACCGTCATGCCTTTATGTCACTGACGGGCCTTTACGTCTCAAGCAGACTTAGCAGAATGGGGAACCAGATGGGGTCACACTTTGGATGACTGAAGAGCTTTTACATGCACCCAGAAGGACTCTGAGTGGGTTTTGGGCCATCTCTCTCTGTATGAAAAGCCCTGCATACTCAGCATTTATCATCATCCTCCACCTCACACTGTGGTTTGTGTTGATATTAGTAATAAAACACACTGAAATAGCTCAGCTAGCAGAGTGTTAGACTGAAGACCTAAAGGTTCCTGTTTATGATCAACAGCATCAGTGTGTGGTGGACACAGAGGACAAATGTTCCCGTGTTGGTAAAGAAGGATCCATTCCAAGCCTCACTGACCACAATCATCTGTGTGGACTGATGCTATCACTGACTCCCTGTGAGGCTGAGACCTTTCTGCCTGCTGGTCCTTTCATCCATTGTGAATGTGTAAGCTCTTATCATGGACCCCGCTCCACACATACTGCATAGAACAATAAAACTTCAAACTGAAGTGTGTCTGAAGTCTTTTTCCACAGTCCTGCTTTCTCCTGCATGTTAGTGGAACCTGGACGTGTGTCCCTCTCTCTTACAGAATAGATCTGTGCTGCCGACCTAAGGATAGCATCTATTATATCTACATCTAAAGTCTGTATCAGAAAACATTGGACCTAGAACTATACAGCTCAGGATTATAACAGGGTTACTCAGATTCAGGCTCACTGATCTTCTAGGTTTGGGAAAGGAGCCTGCTACTGCCAGTCTCCTTTCCCAAACCTAGA